TATTTAACTTGCTCGGGTGACCTGGAATTTGACCCGCGCATTCCTTATCGAGGGCGTCGCCCGGTTGATTGTTTTGGAAATCATTGTGTAATTATACCGTCGCGTTAAGAGCCTTTTGTGTGTTGACTCAATAGCTAGTTTACGTGTCAGCTAGGTTGTTTTGAATTCTTATTGCGGCGTGGTGTTTAATATCGAACGAGGGAGCTTAGTTGTATTTGTAACGCTGAACCGTATGACCCATGAAGAGATCGCATTAGTTCCTTATTGGTAATTTGGTGATAAGTGAATCCGGGACATGAATGTTGAACTTTGTCTACTGTTCGTTACTTGTGTCGGATATCACGCGTTCGATTCTACGATGAACGTTGAATTAGTCGAGTTGAAGTTAGTTAAATGTATAATAAAGTGGATAGACTGAAATAGTGAAATGAAGAAAGAAATGGTCCATTGGGGACGCCTGCTGGAGCGATGCAGCATTGTGGGGCAGCATGGAAACCGGCCGTTGCCAGGTCACCTCAGCTGGGCCAGGTCACCCACTTATATACACCACTAAACACAACTTTACATTCATCTACTATACCTACGGCCTGACTTAGCCTTGAGGCGGTCTTAGATTCGGATCAAGGTACGTACTATTTATTGTCCTAGTCTTCTCCCTATAGTGTAGTATGATAGGTCAAGTTTCCATATGGCCATTTGGTCCCGGACCCTCGGCTGCCCGTCGAGGAGGCTACTATGGGCCCTAGCCAAGGCGACCTTTGCAGGGGCAACTGGGGGCCGTAACATTTCTGGTAGCAGAGCGTGGTTAGGATTGGTTTAATTTTGTGTCTACAATCACGCCCGGCCGTAATACGTAATAATAAAATTATTTCCTTTGCTGCTTGCTTTTTTGTTTGTTAGCGGGTAGAATTAAAAGCCGCGCCGTTGGGCTGCGCAAGCGGGAGTTTGTAAGGGCTAGGTCTCGTCATAACTAACAAAACGAGCCCAAACTCGGCACACCTAGTTCTACTCGTCCAGGAGTTCCAGTAGTAGTCACTGAAGTACACCATCAGGTCTCTTCATCAATTACGGAGGTAAGGTCTCATCATAACTAACTAAATGAGCCCAAACTCTGCACACCTAGTTCTACTCGTCCGGGAGTTCCAGAAGTAGTCACTGAAGTACACCATCAGGGCTCTCCATCAAGTGCGGAGGTAAGGTCTCGTTATAACTAACAAAATGAGCCCAAACTCGGCACACCTAGTTCTACTCGTCCAGGAGTCCCAGTAGTAGTCACTGAAGTACACCATCAGGTCTCTCCATCAATTACGGAGGTAAGGTCTCATCATAACTAACTAAACGAGCCCAAACTCTGCACACCTAGTTCTACTCGTCCAGGAGTTCCAGAAGTAGTCGCTGAAGTACACCATCAGGGCTCTCCATCAAGTGCGGAGGTAAGGTCTCGTTATAACTAACAAAACGAGCCCAAACTCGGCACACCTAGTTCTACTCGTCCAGGAGTCCCAGTAGTAGTCACTGAAGTACACCATCAGGTCTCTCATCAAGTCTGCAGGTAAGGTCTCGTCATAATTAACAAAACGAGCCCAAACTCGGCATACCTACTTCTACTCGTCCAGGAGTTCCACTAGCTGTTACCGAAGTACACCTTCAGGTCATTCCATCAAGGCCGGAGGTAAGGTCTCGTCATAACTAACATAATGAGCCCAAACTCGGCACACCTAGTTCAACTCGTCGAGGAGTTCTAGTAGCATTCACCGTATACTTTCAGATCACTCCATAAAGTCCAAGACCAATAGGATTTATATATATTTATATATTATAAATCCCACTTGCTTTTAGCGAAACAATACATTATAATAAGAATTTGTGATTATAAAAATATATTTATATTACATATGTATTACTTTACTTTGTCAGGTCAGGTACCTATTTATCAAATTCAAATATTTTGTGTTTGTACAGCGATCTTTTTCAACTGCTGGAGGCGATACAGCGACCACCCGCGATGGCGGCCGAGCGGCGACTGTGGTTTCATCGAAATTTTTGTACAACAAATCAAAACAGGCACTAAAAATAAAATAACCCTTATAGCAATCCATTAGGATTCATCCGTAACAGCAAAATATGTCAAAAAAATAAGCATCAGATTTTATTTTTTTTACGACCATTTGTGACATTTTGATAAAAAGTAAACACCAGCATTTTTTATTGAATATGTCTGCCTACTTACAGTATTTTTAGAAATCTTAATATATGTTGATAATAGAACAAAAAATGTACCGAAACATGAGCCGGTATCGTTAATTTTGTAGAAAATGGCTAGGGAAGATCCTTTTTACAATGTAAAAAACTATTATTTTCTACAAAAAAGTTACCACCATTTGAAGATAAAGAACCATTCTATACGTTGTAGTTATTAGTTATATGTGATTTAGTTTAGTTATGTCACAAAATGTACCGAAAAACAGCATAATTTGGCCCGATTTGCAAACGCACCCTTAACAACTAGCAACTAGAGCATCGACTTGTTTATTTAAGTTTAGAAAACATTTTATTGCTTCTTTCCATCACACATTTCAGGCTTTGGACTGACGATTCGGAATAATTTTGTTTATTGATTATGATACAATGTCAATAGGCAATATTCGTTACGAAATGTTATGAATTTGCATAACATTTTAATTGTAATTGTAAATAATAAGTAAAAATAAGAGGCGATACGACAACATAATTCAAAGACGGCGTGTTTAAAAGGTGTGAATCAAGATTACAATAATTTAAAGAATCAAATATTTAACTTACTGATAAGCTAATCTCTCATGCAACGTTGTATTTTAATACACTTTCAAAATTCATCAAAAATACAGTGGAGAAATTATAATAAACCGAATAAAAATACTCAAGGCTTGGCCTAAAGATCTAGATACCAGGCCATAAACTCCAAAAAAAAACTTGCTGTGAATGACATTCATATTATACAAAAAAGACAAGGCTGTATGGCTTAGTTCCTTTGCCCGCTCTCTCGAACGATTAATAAAAACAACAACAACATTCATATTATAGATGTGCCAACTCGGAAAAATTACGACTCGTAATAAATAACTCGAGTTGAAATTCACGCAACTCGAGTTAGCAGTATGAAACAGAGTAAATGATTTGTTACAAATTACTTTTTTATAAATTTGGTTTTCTGTCTAGCTATTTGGAAGGTTGAGATAACTATAATCACCTATATTTATGTTGTACTATAATTATGTTGGATTGAAATAAAAGGTATATATGCCTAGTATGACATTACGTGTTGTTGGTTATAATCTTAGTTATAATAACTACCTGCATTTAACAATAAAACTAGCTGTATAGCAGCCTTCACGAAACAATATTAGCTTAGCCTAGCTTTAAGATGTATGTACATAAACTACTAATAGTTTAATTATCACAGTAAAAATATTCTTAAATTAATTAAAAAAAATTCAAATTCCTTTTTTATATTGTATAGAGTAAGGGTGACAAATGAGCACACAGTAAACCTGATGTTAAGTGGATGCTGTGGCCCATAGACATCTACATTTGTCCGCAATAAAGAATCAAAATGCAGATGCGTTTTCACAAGTCACAACTGAGGACTGAGATAGAATGCCTCGTTTCCAGTATTAGGGGTCTCTGGTTTTCTGCACTCACCATACGAAATACAACAGCATTAGAGCATTCAATGGGTCGAGCCGACCCATTCGTGCTGTAACCACAATATAGCTGCAGCATGGTTATATCCCGTAATTTAAAATGTTTATTGTTAGTTAAATGTTACATTTAGGGTTAATCTAAAATATGATGTATCTTACAACTTAATCACCCTTTTTGGGTCTTACAATAGTAGGTCTCTGACTTACACAACTATATTGGTCATAATTAATCAAAACTATAAAATAAATTATATTACATAACTTAGCTATTATAAAATTTTAAATAACAAATTGTTTTGGTTGTAGCCAAAAAAATACTCTTGGAAACACAAAGCGCGTACGTAACGAACAAATCGCGCGCTTACTCTTTGCTTGCTCACTTTATCCATTCGAGTTAGGGAGATCTAACTCGAATTAACTCGAGTTGAACATCACTAATTTATATTTCGTAGCTTCCTTAACCCTTAAGTGCATAGTTTATCAAAACTGATAATACGGTTTTCTAGACTCCTAATTCCTGAACGATTAGCGTCTCCTCCACAGACGCGGCTTGCGGTAGCGGCCGCGGTGGCGGCCAGTTGTATTCGCTTGCAATGTAAGTGAGTCTGTAAACTCGTGCGGCCATCGCGCGGCCTGCCAGCGGCTGGCCGCGGCCGCATGCTCCGCCCCATTTGCCAACGCGTGTGTATTAGCGAGTACGCGGTCAGTCAATGGCCGCAGCGCGGTCAGTCAATGGCCGCAGCGCGGTCCGTTGTAAATTTTTACAACAGGCCGCGTGTACCGCGTAAAAAATGGTGCTAAATTCAGAGGTTTTAATAGAAACAGTGCAAAATTATTCTGTACTTTATGATAATTCGCATCGTGATCACAAAAGCATTAGGATTAAAAACAAAATATATGATAATATTGCTGAATATAATAAAACTTCGCCACGGTTTGTCATGTTTACTGACGTCCGATCGTAGCACAGACACCACAGCGAATGGCGCTTCAGGCCGCCATTCCGGCCGCGGTGGTATGTTGTTGCAGCGGCTGGAGCCGCGGCCCGCGGTTAGCCGCCACCGCAAGCCGCTTGTGTGTGGGAGACGCTTTATATATTACTATACTCTTTGATTTCATAGATAAATAAATAAAATGAAAATGACATTCCATTCCGAACTTCCGATATTGTCAAAAAATTATATGTTGTGCTTGTGCTTCGGCTTGAATTTAGTTTATTTTGAATGATATTTTAATTTTATACCCTGGCGATTATTATGAAGCGTTCGTGAGCCTACGTAAATGTAAACAGTTAGGAATAATTAAAATTGCAATAAAATGTCTGATAAGAAGGAATTGCTCGCCGAAGAAAAGAAACCTATTGTAATAAAGAATGCTACAGATTTACAGAGATTAAAACTTGAAAAACTTATGAAGAATCCTGTTAGTTTGCAATTACTGTTTTAGTCTATATTAAATACACATTTTGTTGAATAAGTCCATAAATTTGTTTAAATTTAGTAAATCTTTATATTTTTTTACTTTTAGGAAAAGCCTGTTGTTATACCAGAGCCACCAAAACAAAAAACACTGCCACCGCCACCAGACTTTGTACGAAATGTAATGGGATCTAGTGCAGGTGCTGGTTCAGGGGAGTTTCATGTTTACAGGCATTTACGACGAAAAGAATACGCTAGACAAAAATTTATTCAAGAAAAAAGTGAAAAGGTTTGTATGCTTCAATGGGGTCCCTATATATCTAAATTAGCAAGCAGACTTAGGTCTGCAGCATATTCTGTAAGAAAGACAAGTCTCACAGACGTTGAGACAGCTAGATTAGTTTATTTTAGTTACTTTCATAGCATAATGTCTTATGGAATTTTGCTATGGGGTAATGCAACAGATATTGAAGCAATATTTGTTTTGCAAGAGCTGTAAGCGTGATTGATAACTTAAATTGTAAAGAGTCCCTCAGAGACAAATTTAAAGAAAGAAGCATATTAACTTTGGCATTATATATTTATGAAAATGTATGTATATAAAACATAAATAGCTTTGATTAGAATAAGGATTTCATACTTTAAACACTAGGAACAAACATAAGCTTGTAGTACTAGTTACTAGACTCCACAGAATCAGTAATTCATTTGTGGGGCAATGTATACACTTTTACAAGAAGAAAAATTGTACAAAAAGGTTTATTATAATATTAAACAATATATGAATAAAAATAACCCCTGGAAATGAGGTGATCGCCACCATGCTATTTCTATTAAGTGATTTAAAAGTAGTACAAACAAAATTATTGTAAAGTGAAATATGTTTAAAAAAACGTCTCACTGGGTTTTTTTGCTGGTTCTTCCTAGGACAGAGGTATTTTCTGAACCAGTGGTAAATAAAAAAATGACTCAATAAGTGTTATGTAATAATCAATATTGAATAAAAAATCATTCCATTCTAGGGTAATTATTTTGTTTGGTGTAAATTGGATGTCTGGGTGAATTTCTCCCATAAAACTAAATTGGATTTATACTGTGCAATACCATGTATATAGTACTAGAAATTTTTGCTCTAGTGCCATTCATTATCCAGGGAGAAAACAGAGGAATATGTTTGTACAGACTTAACATCGTTGGGATATCCACATAATTAATAAATAGTAACATTTCTATCTGTTCCCAACTCATCCAAATTCAGCTTATGGTACTTCCTATTATAAACTTATTTGAACTTGATTGGGTATAGATTTAAATTAAATTTCTAGTTAGGGAGTTTTAATATTTTACTTGCATGTAATTTACCAACCTCTTGTGACCATAAAATATGAAGAGTAGTGCTATATTTGATTAATTGTTCATTTTTAGGAAAAACTTGATGAAGAATACCATAAAAAAATTGAAGAAAATAGAAAAGCTGCTGAAGAGAGAACAGCGAAAAAAAGAGCTAAAAGGTTGAAAAAAAAGCAAAAAATGAAAACTAAAATAAAAAAAATGAAACCTAATACACAGAATATTTCATCACAGTCGGGGTCAGATAAAAATAGCACTGATAGTGAAACTGAAGAAAATCAAAGTGACAGTAATGATAATAGGTGTAAAAATAGTGATAATGATAGTCAATAAAATTTAAATACAATTTTTACTATATTTTATTTCTTAATTTAAAACGCCTGGGTTAGGCTGAATTTAGTGCTTGTGACGTCGGTTTGATTATGTGATTGCAGGTGGGCCTGCCTGCCAAGCGTGTTGTTTATCCTGCATTAGGGCATTTAAAGGCTCACACCTCTTATATTATAATTATTGTTAAGTGAAATTATGTTTAAAAAAAAAAGTCCCGCTGGGTTTCTTGCTGGTTCTTCCCAGGACAGAGGTATTTTCCGAACCAGTGGTAAATAAAATAATGACTTTCAATAAGTATTATGTAATAATCCATATTGAATAAAAATCATTCTATTCTATTCTATTCTATAACTTTCAACTTGAGAAGTGTATTACTTTAAATGCCCTAATGAAAGGCGCGGATTAAACAGTCTGCTCCACGGATTGGCTCAAAATTTCGTTTAATTTCTCTCGTTTTATTCTCAACATATAAAGACTAGAAGTATTGATTACGCTATATTTATGATTTCAAAAGGCTATTAGCGCTCCCTTCTAAGCTGCATGCATATTTGTTCAGCACAACGTAAATGTGCGACATTCAGTGGATAAAAAGTTACGTTACGATGATAAGCAGAAGTTTGAAAAATTTTTGCTTATCATCAGGAAATAAAGGATCTTAATAAAAATAGCTTTTCATATTATCAAAAAATATTGTACATATTATGGTTATCTCTTATAAAAATTAGAACTCGAACATCTAAAGCTTTTGTCCGACGATTAAATTATAATTTCTTCCCTGTTAATACATTGTTTTAAAAAAGGACTTGATTAAGAATTTAATTAGGTACTTCATGTATGCGCATATTATATTCCAAGCATATACTACTCGTATTTCAAGAAGTATCAATTCTCGAGCGCCAAAATAGTGTCTAAAATACAAATAATACCAATGTTTAGTCCAACCTGGTTGTAGATGTGTCAGTTGTCATGGCAGATTAAGCATAAATTCACTTTTTATTAAAACGTTATCTCCACAGTAGGATTTGTTCCTGTATCGTGGAGGCAGTTTACATACATAAATTGCTCAAGGACTAACATCCAGACCAGGAACAATTTTTTGCAGGCCATACAAATACTAGTTACGTGCTAAATTCGAACCCGTAGCCCCGAGTACCGCAACTCAATGCTGCGCCACGGGGCTATTAAAAACGTTTAAAGATTAGATATTGTTTAGGCCAAAAATGGTCATTTTGGGACGGCACCCAATCACGTTCAACTTTGCGAACCGCCCGATGGTACCAGGTGTCACAGGGCAGCTGTGGGTCGTAACAGATATTAATATTAGTTTTTATATCTCACACTTAAATTTGATCAGTATCAAATTTTTACTTTGAAAAATATTTCAAGCATAATTTATTCACAGGACGTCAATGAAATAAAATTAAATATTACATTTTGTTATTTAAAAATCTTAACACATATTACGAAAGTTAATTAATACGATTGTTGTTTACTGCACGGACGCCATAACGCTGTCCTCGTTCTTCTTTAATGTGACGAAACCTTCCATGACGGGCGAGAGCGGCAGATACTCGTCAGTAGCGAGTTCAGCGCGTTCGCCGAATGAAAGCAGTAATAGTTTTAGGCGTACCGGTTTTGCCGATTACATCTACAGCCTGTAAAAATGTTATGATGATATTCACCTGATAATAATACTGCACAGATTAAATTATAAACTAAACTCGACGGCCACATAGTCTAGAAAGTAAAATATACCACGGAATATAAAAAACAAGAGGAAGTAGCAAAGCGCATAATTTGTAGCGAAACCACTGTCGCCAAACTCACACATGCACAAGAAAGAAATGTGTATCAACAATTGTGTACCATTTCAATAATTTTCGCGTGATTGGTTATTTAAAAATAAAAGAGAAAGGCATTATGTTACTCACCATTCATTTGAGCATGAACAATAAGTCCTTAAGAATAGAGATTATATTCCTTTTAATCAACGAAGTTTTATAATTAAAGAGCAAACTTAGCTTCTTAACGTTAGATATCGCAATAATAAATTCACGCTATTAGAGACATAATGACAATAAGTATAACGTTGACATTGCCCTACCCGTGCCCTAACTAAACTGTACTGCTACGCGAATGATGTTAGTGATGTAGTTACTCTGCCTGAACATGATCTGGCTTATATCGACATTCAGTATACGATTATTATCATGTATATGAATTGACTGAAGAAACTAAATTGAAAAAAAACAACAATATATGATTAAATGAGTAAAATAGCAAAATTTAATGGAAATTGCTATAATGTACCACGTATATCCCTGTAATTTATATAGCCGGCATATAATTAATTGTATTTAATGAAAATTTATTTACAATAAGCTAAATTATCATTTTTGAAATGGAAACAAGGAGAATAATAAAAAACAATAATTTTGCAATTGTTTATTGTCATTGAAATAACACATATGTGTATAAAAATTATCGTGTTCACACTTTAATATAAAATTTTAGATGATAATGAATTCGGTTACCAATGTAGATCATGATATTAAGATCACTTTTATTTCAGCTTTTTTCAAAAGTCATGAGTACTACTAAACTACTTACTTATTTCTCTGGCTTAGCAACCCTAACAAATGTTCATTCGTAGGCTTCACCCTACAATTTCGTATATTTTCAAAGACATCCAGCATTTGCAAATTTTCATTAATATGTTAGTGAATGAACAGTATTGTGATAACATTTTATCGAAAACTTTGATGTCGGCGTAGTTACAACACTATCGGAGCTATTTTATTCAAAAAGTATTTACAGCTGAACCTTATCTTAACGAAATAAGGTTGAATATTGCTTGTAATAAAGGCAATTTGACATTTTGTCTATGTTTAGTTGAGTTTCTATCCAAAAAATTTAAAAATTACACGTGCCTTTGGTACAAAACACCTCTATTCGAGATATTTTTATTTTTTATTTTCGTTTTTACACTCCTAAATTGCACAAAACAGCATATTTTCGCATATATCACTTAAGCAGCGACCCGTCATCTCGCAACAATTTGAGTTTACGACTGACAATCTATTACGCTCTACTGTCACTAATTGTGACACGCCTGCCCCGCCCACTTTGGGCTTCCTCTTGTTTTTTATATTCCGTGAAATATACGTTCTTGAATTTACGATTACTCGTCGAAACAATTTTGCATTAGGGAAAGCTACGGGGTATGGTGAATTCGGCCTGAACCTCAGTCTGGAGCATTCAATGGCAAAACACATCACCGAAATGAATAATCGATTATGTATCTTTTTGCTTGAAAGATGACAAAGATTTTCCATGAAACTATTAAAATCGTTATCTATTAACCTATTGAGCTAGTTCATTAAGTTCAATACTGACACTGTGTTATATTATCGTATTTGTATCTTCTATTTGTAGTATAATTATTTCAGTGATAGTTTATTGCATTATAATACTGTGTCAACAATTATATTTATCTATATTTTATTACCATTAAACTAAAAAGAAAGCTTTAAATAGATCGTGTTTTTTATTGTTGTAAATGATAATACTTGAGTACCTAATTACTTATTAGGTAGACCGTGTTATAGCGGTGTAAGAATATCCACTACCCTATTTTGTTCCATGAGCCGTGGGTAATAGTTTTAGGCGTACCGGCTTTGCCGATTACGTCTACAGCCTGTAAAAATGTTATGATGATATTCACCTGATAATAATACTGCAGATTAAATTATAAACTAAACTCGACTGCCACATAGCCTAGAAAGTAAAATATACGTTAGGCGTACCGGCAGGGGCAGCTGTGGGCCGTAAGATTATTGGTAGCAGAGCGTGGATTGGATTGGTTTAATTTTGGGTCTACAATCACGCCCGGCCGTAATACGTAATAATAAAATTATTTTCTTTTGTTGCTTGCTTCTTTTGTTTGTTAGCGGGTACAATTAAAAGCTGCGCCGTTAGGCTGCGCAAGCGGGAGTTTGTTAGGGTATGCGTCGGGTAGGTAGATGGTTATTATCACGTAATCGGATAATTATTATTGTCGTATAATTATAGTACATTAATTGTCGAAGGGTCGGTTGTCCGAACGAGGCATTTTTTGTTGATCGACTGTGGTGTGTACCTTTATTTGTATTTAATTTAATAAATAGTAATTTGTATTTAACTTGATTTGATAGGAACTGTATTTGTTAATTAATTTGTATTTGAGCCGCGTAGTAATTGTATGCCATCGCGCTGCCAGGGCAATCACCATGCCGTTTTGTGTCTGGGTGCGAACGGCGTTTCTTCTCAGGGCTCTTCCGAGCCCTCGACTCCTACGGGCGGGGGGTTGTTCCCCCAGGGGCGGGGGGTTGACGCCCCCCCCCCTCAGTATATTGAGAGGGACTTCACAGCCACTCAGCAGTCAGCTAGACCCTTCTCGTCCTCGTCAGCTGAGTGGCCGCGGCTCGAGGTACTACCGTTCCCCCTTTGATGTAGGCAGCCCAGCTAGGTAGCTGCCGCCCTAGCTCCCACCACGGCCGCCTCCACTAATTCTTTGAGCCGTCAACAGCTCACTTGTCAAACTGTTCTATTGCCGACGGCCTCTGTGAGGGTGTACAACCCGAGCGTCGATTGTTTAACGGTACGCACTTTATTGGATTCGGGTCACAACACGGTGTGGCCTCCGCTTGGTTGTTGGGAAAACTAGGGCTCCTCGGGAGCGTTGAATCGCGCTGTCGGGGACTATTGGATTTGGTTTTGGTCGAGCACTTAATAAATGATGCATTAAATTAAAATTAAAAATGTTTTCCGCGAAATGTTTCAAATTAGTTGCGGTTGTGATTAAGAAGGCAAATTTAATGTGCTCTTTGAATACTTGTACATATGTTTTTGTAATTGTCTTTGATCATTGTTTGTTTTGTTGAAAGGAGAATTGAAATTTAATGATATGCTCTTTGAATGTGTGTGCATATGTTTCTGTGAATGTATTTGATCACTGTGTTTGCTTGTTGAAAAGAAAATTGAAATTGAATAACCCTATTTGTGACGAAAGGAATATGAGTCATTCCTCTCTTTGTTTTCACATTTTTGTTGGCACTGTCGAAGATATTTATTTGGAAAGAGAAATAGGGCTGTCTCTTACGTTTATCGTTTTGTTTAATTTGTCAGTTTGGGCTATGCGCATCGGTGAATGAATTTGTTTGAATTAATTCAGTAGTTGAACATTGATGCTTTTGAAATTTGGTTGAAATATGAGCATAGGACTACATGTCTGAAAGGGCTAGGTAATTGTGAGATTATCAAATTGAAATCAGCTGCCGCCCTATTGAGTAAATGATTATATGGTAGATGGCTTGGTTACGCTTACTTGTTTGAAAAGTCATACTAAGGACTATCTGTGCGTTTCGTTTTGCTCTCCACAGACGCCGTTCATGTGGAACTTGTAGGTGCTCTCTGCACTGAAGCTTAGGTGGCCACGCTGGGCCGCTTCGTATTGCGTCGCTGTTTGCAGACCTGATCCGGTCGGATTGCGAAACGAATCATAGGGGCACAAATAGGTCTTTGAAGGAGGTCGTCAGACTTCTGTCCAGTAACAGGGCTTATTTAGGTGCTGCGATGTCCAGGAAGGGCATCCAGTGGAGGTTCGACCCTCCAGCTTGCCCACGTTGGGGCTGTATTTTTGAAGCGGTGGTTAGAGTTGCAAGATCTGATGGGGTGCCTAAGGTGGCCTAGGTTTGGTTGTAGATTCGGTCTTGCAACGTGCCGTCGCGACCCTGTCCCGCTTGTCGGTTTGCTCGCGGACATAAATCCTTATGCCCAGGACGGGGGTTTGTTTAGGCCAAAAATGGTCATTTTGGAACGGCACCCAATCACGTTCAACTTTGCGAATCGCCCGATAGTACCAGGTGTCACGCGTGTCTCGGGGAAGGGGCAGCGGAAGGCAGCCTCCCGGCGTTTGGCGCTGGCTGGCGAGAGACACAGTAGCTCGGGGGCAGCGGTGCAATTAATTAGCGTATCTCGTTGACCGCTGCAGAAGTTTTTCGTGCGACCTGTTTTGAGTTATGGTCTAGATTTTTAGAATTTGTGCGCATTACTTCGCTACGTAATTGTGGTTTCGTGAAAACCACCTCGGTTTAGTTTGTCTAGGTTTTAAGTTCGTGACAAGAGGCTTGTATTGTATTTGACAGATTCAAGTAATTTCGTTGGAAAGTAACTGCTCCAATTATATAGTGATTACGTGTTGAAGTGCATTTTACAATATTTAACTTGCTCGGGTGACGTGGAAATTGACCCGCGCATTCCTTATCGAGGGCGTCACCCGGTTGATTGTTTTGGAAATCATTGTGTAATTATACCGTCGCGTTAAGAGCCTTTTGTGTATTGACTAAGTAGCTAGTTACGTGTCAGCTAGGTTGATTTTGAATTCTTATTGCGGCGTGGTGTTTAATATCGAGCGAAGGAGCTTCGTTGTGTTTGTAACGCTGAACCGTGTGACTCATGAAGAGATCGCGTTAGTTCCCTATTCGTAGTTAGGTCACCTCAGCTGGGCCAGGTCACCCACATATACACACCACTAAACTCCACTTTACATACTACCTACGGCCTGACCGAGCCTTGGGGCGGTCTTAGCTTCGGATACAGGTACGTACTATTTATTTACCTAGCCTTCTCCCTATTGTGTAGTATGATAGGTCATTTTTCCATAAGGCCAATTGGGTCCGGCTGCCCGTCGAGGAGGCTACTATGGGCCCTAGCCAAGGCGACCTTTGCAGGGGCAGCTGTGGGCCGTAACATATATTAATATTAGTTTTTATATCTCACACTTAAATTTGATAAGTATCAAATTTTTACTTTGAAAAATATTTCAAGCATAATTTATTCACAGGAAGTCAATGAAATAAAATTAAATATTACATTTTTTTATTTAAAAATCTTAACACATATTACGAAAGTTAATTAATACGATTGTTGTTTACTGCACGGACGCCATAACGCTGTCCTCGTTCTTCTTTAATATGACGAAACCTTCCATGACGGGCGAGAGCGGCAGATACTCGTCAGTAGCGAGTTCAGCGCGTTCGCCGAATGAAAGCAGAACTGGTGTTGTATGCGTGTGGGATCCCGCAATAGTTTTAGGCGTACCGGCTTTGCCGATTACGTCTACTGCCTGTAAAAATGTTATGATGATATTCACCTGATAATAATACTGCACAGATTAAATTATAAACTAAACTCGACGGCCACATAGCCTAGAAAGTAAAATATACGTTCTTGAATTTACGATTACTCGTAGAAACAATTTTGCATTAGGGAAAGCTACGGGGTTTGGTGAATTCGGCCTGAACCTCAGTCTGGAGCATTCAATGGCAAAACACATCACCGAAATGAATAATCGGTTATGTATCTTTTTGCTTGAAAGATGACAAAGATTTTCCATGAAACTATTAAAATCGTTATCTATTAACCTATTGAGCTAGTTCATTAAGTTCAATACTGACACTGTGTTATATCATCGTATTTGTATCTTCTATTTGTAGTATAATTATTTCAGTGATAGTTTATTGCATTATAATACTGTGTCAACAATTATATTTATCTATATTTTATTACCATTAAACTAAAAAGAAAGCTTTAAATAGATCGTGTTTTTTATTGTTGTAAATGATAATACTTGAGTACCTAATTACTTATTAGGTAGACCGTGTTATAGCGGTAGAAGAATATCCACTACCCTATTCTGTTCCATGAGCCGTGGGTGTCGGAGGCAACAGGAGAAAACAAACCAGAGCAGATGGGTCGCAGGGAATTCATAATAAAGAAACTAAAAAATAATCAGCAGTGAATTTTGATGATGCCTAGTCTTGAGTTCACCATTAAACGGTGACAATTTATCTTACTGTGCGGGTATATTTAATGAGCAGTTTATTTTAATGTGCGGGCATACATACACTAAGATAAATTGCACATAGTACATAAGTGCATAGCAATAAAACAAGCACACTAGCAACACATTGCACACCTGTAGGCGAGTAAGAAAAAGAGAGTGGTGAGTGGGGATTGAGTCTTGTACCTGTTTACTCCAAAGGTCCTAATTTCAAATCCCAAACGGACGATTATTTATGCATCGGTGGCCCGTATTTGGTTGATTATTTATGCATCGTATTGGTTAATGTATCTAATAAGTTGCGCCAATAAGGCGATATCGTCACTATTATAGTATATAATCTGAGATTGCATAAATATTTTTAAAAACCAATATATAACTAAAGTAAAAGTTAATGAAGCAAATAAATTTGTAATTATAGTATGTTATAAAAATAAAGAAAATACGAAATCCAGCCTAAATATATATCAAAATAAAATTCGTCAATTGCGTCACAGAATAAATAATAGTTGATTGCGATAGCGAACCGCGTGCGCGTAGTTTAGCAGTCGTATGATTTGAGACGAAATTGGACGCTATTGGTTCAAATTGAAAACCATCAAGTATCTTATAAATGAAATTATTATTATTTTATTATCGAATTATGAATACAATTGTTTTATTTTTTAAGAGAACTATACTACTTAAGTGGAATCACCAATAAGAATTCTAATTAATAAAAAAATCAACAAAAGATGTATGAGTTCAAGGACTTTTGTCCAAACACCAGATGAAGGAGATTGATTACTATTTTATTATTCTTTAGACCAATCTTTATAAGCTGAAAATAAATACAAAAAATCCTCACCACGAAAAGCAGATTTTATTCTCCAAGTTTTATGTTTTTCTTTTAGATTGTTTTATTTAAAATTTTGTTTTCCTTCTGAATAGTCAGAGGTCATTAGCATTATTATCCTAATGGTAAAAATGTATTTAAGGAAAGTTGTAATGTTTTATAAACATACCTGACCAACACGAACACTGACATTCAGGGGCTGAAGATTCTCATCGAGGGTGACAAGCCAACGAGGTTGCATAGCAGTTGCAAGAACATACAGCAAGTAGTGAGATTTACCGAGGATTACTGTTAAAACAAAAATAAACCTTTTAAAACTTTACACATCATTTAGTATTTATTATATACATTACTTTATTTAATATTCACTTTACTTACTACATTTTTAATTATATATAATCTTCTAAATATAGCACATATAAATAGAATATATACAGGCTGGCGATAAAGTTATCACATTAAATGAAAAGACTTATCCTATATAACGTTCTTAGAACATACACAACTAAAAACAATTAAAAAAGGCCCTTTTTTTCGTTTTTTGCCGAATTACTTATGAACGGGAAAGTGTATGTAAATAATTACTGTTATCAGTGATTTTTTTTTATAGGATAAGGGTGACAAACGAGCACACAGTCCACCTGATGGTATGTGGTTGCTGTGGCCCATAGACATCTACATCTATCTTCGATTACGAATCAAAATGCAGATGCGTTGTCACCCGTGAGGACTAAGATGAAATGCCTCGTTTCCAGTATAAAGTGTCTCCGGTTCTCTACACTCACCATACGAAACACAGCAGCGTTAAGCTGCTATTTTACGCTGGTATTCTGTGAGAGCGTGGTCCTACCCCGGTCGAGCCGACCCATTCGTGCTACAGCCATAATATAGCTGCAGCATGGCTCTACCACGTACAATTATTGTTAAATAATTCCTATTATGAGGCATTAAAATAATAATTGTGTAATTATTAGTATTATTATTTTTAATTACAAATATAAAATAGATTAAGTCATTGTATTGTCATAATAATTATCTATGATAATTTTCTGTTTATTTTAATTTAGAATTTGAGAGATTTGTAAAGAATATTATATAAGTATTTTCATTTTCTAAACAATTGTAATTAATTGACTTATCAATAATATTTATAAAAGTGGTTTACTTATTTTCATATTATAAAAGTATTTGGATTGTATAATTCTTACACATTCGAACTGTTGCTAGGTTCAGTTTGGATAGGTAGTAGGGGTAGCTACCACCATTGTGTGGTATTATTTAATCGATTCGTTGCGGCACCAATTTTCGACAACTTTTATCTGTGGCGGCGAACAAATATTTCATTACACGCCGGGCGTGTCAAGCGCCACGTGTAAAAGTAATGTTCTTTTTTATGCTTTTTTAACTTGTTTAGACCTAATTAAGTTTATTTGACATCAAACATAAGTTACAAATGGAAGGATACTTGTTTTTAGTGGGTAACTACGTGTTTTTTTACGCGTTTTCTTTGAAATTGAGAGAAAGTGACTTTTTTTTGAAGAGATTACAAACCTTTTATACTATTTTTTATTGTTATAAAAAAATCATTTATATAAGTAGGTACAGCTAAATCACCCTAGAAACCTTGGTTTTTATTAAATTAAATTTTCACTTAATAATAACATTTGTAAATATCAAACAATGAAGAACCTTAATTTGAAAAAAAAAGGTATATCATTCATTGATATTTACAAATGTTAAATATTATTTAATGTTATACAAATGTAAAAGTAAAGTCGATCTGAAAAAGTCTAATTAGTAAAAATAGCAAAACAACTGTTTTCAAAAGGAAAAAAACGCCGGTGCTATACGGCGACGGATTGACAAAAGACTATTTATTAGCGAACTTTTTTTATGCATGAACGGTTTCGAACTGTTTCAAGCAAAAATAAACCTTATACCATATCACAAGAGCACATGGTACTTCGTAGGTCTATTCGGCCATATGATAGTAATAAGACGGCAGTTCAACCATTTTAAGCAAAATTAAACAATAAGACAAACGCATTGTTTTTTTTTTAACAGGAGACTTGTTTTCCAGAAATTTATTTACAACTTGAGTTTGTGAGCGATCGCAATGAGTGCTATTATTTGTTACTTATTAGACAATTTTTCCATAACATGATTTAAAACCCACAAAGTAAAAATAGTACCATGTACACGTTAAAAAAAGGTTGTCAACCCCTAAAAATTTCAAATTTTCAAAATATCCAGAAACGAAGCTGCATGCATGAACTACTCGCAAAATAATGAATATTTTGTTCCGGATAAATTTTCCAAAAAAGCAATTTGAGCGAGTTATAACTTTTTGTTGAGTTGAGTTATGATTTTTAAAAAGACACGACTCGCGTGTCATACGCCACACACAAAAGTAATCGATGGCACGCCTGGCATGTCACTCGCACTGAACCGTTTAAAGGATTGCAATAATGATTGAGGTGCTTTTCGTGCTGTAAAATTAGTTAAGGAAACAACTAACAATCAGCCTATGTCGATGCCACGTGAGCAACCTGCCGCAACGTTGCCGCTTTTACATGTCACTTCTGGTCAGTAAACTAATATTATCAAGGTGATTTATTTCGTGTCAATTTTTACGCTATTTGTTCTGTTTGAAAGATGCATTTTTTTATTTTTGGTAGAACTGTTTTTTTTTTTTATTATTTTCTGCCGACTTCCAAAAAGGAGACAGTACTCAATTCGACTGTATGTTTTTTTTTATGTGTGTTACCTCATAACTTTTTACTGGGGTAACCGATTTCGATGATTATTTTTTTATTTGAAAGCTGGTACTTCTCGTGTGGTCCCTAATGAATTTGATCAAGGTCAGGCCAATAGTTTTTGAGTTATTCTTAATAACTTATAATGAAGTCGGCAGTACAAAATTTTTAATTTTTAATTATAATCGACATATATGAACTTGCATATACCGCTGTGTTATTTAATGTGATAACCTAATCGCCACCCAGTATATATATAGATGCTAATTAAAACGTGGATTCCACCGCTCTGTAGCAATATGTTATGGCCCAGTCTGGGAACAACCTTTGATCTGTAAACACCTACATCTATACCCGATTAAGAATCAAAATGCAGATATGATTAAGACTCTTAAGGACTAAGATGGAATACCACATCTACCAATAAAGAGAATCTCTGGTTCTTGACACTCGCCATATATGTATATAATTTATGCATATTATCTATTATGTGTGAGCATGTTTCTTTTCCCAGTCAAGTCGACCCATGGTGGGCTGCAGCCATAGTACGCTGCTACCACTTGAACAAAATGTGGTACCTCTTTACAGTTATTATAATTACGGAAGAACGATGAATACTACAATTCATTATTATTTTTGCAGCCAAGGAAGGTTATGTCTCAATATTGTACAACTATGGCAGCAGCCGAGGGCAAAGTAGGGCATAACTCACTGCATTTGCAGTTGAGGAAAGCCAGGACATGGTATGATACATTTCACTGTTCTTGCAGTCAAGGAAAATTAGGATATAGTATGGTTTAACTCACTATTCTTGTAGTGAAGGTAGGCGATACAACTTACTGTTCATGCAGTTGAGGAAGATCAGGACACAGAATGGTACAATTCACTATTTATGCAGTGGTGTTAGGCGAGGACACAGTAGAACAGCTCATTGTTCATGCAGTCGAGAAAGATCAGGGCACAATATGGCATAATTCACTATTTCTACAATAGTGACAGGTTAACTTGTCTGCAAAGTAGTTCAACCGTATCCCGTATCTCCTACCGTGAAGTAGAGCGTACTGCTGTTCCGTTCCGAAGGGAACAGAGAACCATTATAATTACATGCTGAACCCAAAGTCCCGAAACCTTTCAGCTCGAGTTAAAAAACCGTTTTCAGTGCCTAGAAGACTGCAATGCAGTGGACGATATGAATGACAAGCTTGTGGAAACTGTCCATGTGGTCGGAGCTAAGTTCTGCAAGACCCGCCACAAAAGAACAAAAACTCTTCGATCACACTCTTAATCTCATGGCTGTTAGACGGGAAATGAAGTTGCAGTCTTCAACAGATTTAACAGCTTACAGGCAACTCAACAGACAGATCTCCAAATGCATGCGGCGGGACTTCGCAACTTCAATACAGCTTGTATTGAGGAAGCAATAGAGCGGAACCAAGGCTCCAAAGTCTTTGCCAGAGATCTGCTTGCCAGAAAGAGCCAACTTTCAAAGCTGAAGACCGAGCGTGGCAGCATCGTTCCCGGAACACCTGAGACTGAGTGAGGTTGACAGGTTCTATGGGCAGCTGTACACGTCATCGTTGGAGCCACACGCAAGTATGAGTGACGATCCAAGAGCAAGTCTTATCCAACACTATTCCGATGATATCCCGAACGTCAGTCTGAGCGAGATTAGAATGGTTCGCCAGCACCTTAAAACGGCAAGGCCCCAGGCGAGGATGGGATCACAGCGGAGCTTCTGAAAGCGGGTGGAAACGCGGCACTTGAAGTCATGCAGAAGCTCTCTAATTCCGTCCTCCATGGTGGCACTACACCGGAGGCGTGGAGCAGAAGTGCGGTGATCTTGTTCTTCAAGAAAGGCGACAACACTCTCTTGAAGAACTACAGACCGATTTCCCTTCTGAGCCCCGTCTACGTGCTGTTTTCGAGAGTCATTACGAATAATCTTGCACGCAGGTCTCCCGAACATGCCGGTTTCCGAAAAGGCTTTAGCATTACATACCACATACGTACCCTTCGGCAAATTCTACAGAAGACCGAAGAGTACAATCTGCCAGATTGCCTTGCGTATATGGATTATGAAAAAGCCTTTGATTCCGTCGAAATTTGGGTGGTGCTACAGTCCCTACAGCGGTGTCAAGTTGACTGTCGGTATATCGAAGTGCTGAAATGTTTGTACAGTAAGGCCATGATGGCTATCCGAGTACAGAATCAGAGTAAGAAACCTATCCAACTGCAGAGAGGGTAACCTATCCAACACAGGGTGACGTTATGTCCCCGAAACTCTTCGCCGTTGCATTGGAAGACTTTTTCAAGCTACTGGTCTGGAAAGGATACGGTATTAACATCAATGGCGAATACATCGCTCACCTTCGAATTGCCGACGATATAGTCCTTATGGAAGTATCGCTGAAGGATCTAAGCACTATGCTGAATAACTTCAATAGTGCCTTTCAACAGACAGGTCTCAAGATGAACATGGACAAAACAAAGATCATGTATAACGTCCATGTCACACCTATGCCGGTAGTTGCTGGGAGCACTAAGCTCGAAGTTGTTGATGAGTAAGTTTTACCTGGGACAAACAGTCCGACTAGGTAAGTCCAACTTTGAACGAGAGTCAATCGACGGATTCAATTCGGTTGGGCAGCGTTCGGGAAATTACGACACATCTTCTCGTCAGGTATACCTCAAAACCTGAAAACAAGATTGTACAACCAGTGCGTGTTACCAGTGATTACTTATGGATCAGAGACGTGGTCCTTCACTGTTGGCCGTATGAGGACGCTCAAGGTCGCTCAGCGAGCTATGGAGAGGGCTATGCTTGAGGTTGATCTGCGTGATAAACTTAGAAATGAGGATACCCGCAGTAGAACCAGAGTGATCGACATAGCCCACTGCCCAACAGATTAGTAAGTTGAAATGGCAATGGGCCGGCCATATAGCTCGAAGAACCGACAACCGATGGCGAAGAAAGATTCTCGAGTGACAGTCTTGTATCGGTAGGCGAAGTGTAGGGCGACACCCCACTAGATGGAGTAACGACCTGGTATGACATGCAGGAAGTCAGTGCAGGTGGCTCAGGACCGTGCTTTGTACATTCGTTGGGGGAGGCGTAAGTACAGCAGTGGACTTGTAAAGGGCTGTAATAATGATGATGATGAGGCATTGCACCTAAGTCCTTAGCGGTGACAACGCATCTTTTTTTTTTTAAACATTACCCCCATTTAAAATTTTTCAGGATTTTCTCCTGTATCGTGGAGGCAGTTTACAAACATAAATTGTACAAGGTCAAACATCCAGACCCAGAACAATTATTTGTAGGCCATACAAATACTTGTTCCGTGCGGGATTTGAACCCGCAGCCCCAAGCGCTGGAACTCATTGCTAAGGCACTACGCCACGGAGCTGTTAATTCTGTATCCTTTGTTTGAAGTTGTGTTAAATGTAACCATGGGCTGCAGTAGCCACTCGACCAGGTGGGTTGCAGGTTCGTTTGTTGGGCGGTGTGGTGTGGTGGAGTGGTGAAGTGGTGGAGTGGAGGTGGCACTGACTGTTCTTGCAGTCGAGGAAGGCGGTGAGCACGACGAGCAGGCCGGCGAGCGCGGGCTGGTTGAGCAGGCGGCGGTCGGCGTGCGCCGGGCACAGCGTGACCGTGCCCTTGCCCGCGTGGCACAGGCCCTGCGCCAGCCGCACCATGAACAGGTGCACCGGCGACTTGCCGTGGTACAGCGCCAGCGCGCGCAGCATCGTCGCCAGCCTACACACATTATCACATTCAACGGGGCCTGGCCTGGCTGCTTGACCACTATCCCACCTGATGCTAAGTGGTAACTCAGCTGAAGCTAACCAGATGTCGCTAGTTAGGACTCAGGTGAACTTATTTATTATGTAATAAACAAAATATAGCTTCAGTGAATTCGCTCTTTATTTTTTGCACATATTTAACTCTCTTTTTTTTGTTTTATGAATATCCATAGTATTGTTTGTAGATAATATTTCAGATGAAATCTGTCAAGTATTTCACCTCATTCCTAAGGTAGTGCCGCTCTGGTGGCAGACAAAATTATATTATACTTTATGCTTCATCAGCCTGTAAAAGTACAACTCTGGACACGAGCCTCGCCTGTCAGAGGAGGATTTGCCTCAGTCATGCTTGGCAGGCGGATTGACTTTTGCACTACCAAACGTGTAACATATTCGAAGTGATTGTACTGCCATCTATCGGAAGCTGGGAGATCTTTCTGGCATATACCATAAGTCACCTCTGAGAACTTCACAGAACGAAAATGGGGTGATGGATTCCCTTCCGCCACCACATGGCACTACTATTATTGCATTAAAACAGTATATTGGCCGTGTTTTCCGCAAGTTCCGCAAGCTTTTACAACATAATCTCATAAAAAGATTTTTAAAAGAGTTATTATAACAGATAATAATGACTGGAAATGAGATTATCACTACTGAGCTGACCGATACCCATAAATGGACTATTTTTCTAAGCTAGTGTTTGATTAAACTTAAAAATTACTTTCAATAAGTATAATTAATTTATAAACTATAATAAAAATAATATTTTCGTAGTAGGTAGCGAGTAAGAGAATTAAGGAGAAGGAAGAAGAATGAATTAAAGAAGTGAAGGAATGAGAATTTCATTACATTGATGTAGTAAGAGGCCACTATAGGAAAGGCAAGCAAGACCTCATGACCTCCGATAGAATCTACATGCCATGTGGTAATGAAGACAAACTCTTCCTATAGAAATGTCGAGCGATGAACTAATGAGTTGATTAAGAAGAAGACGATTGATAGCTATGCAGCCTGTTGGCTGATATGTATATATTATATTACTGAACTCACCTAGCATTATTAGTACCAGCGCCTACAAGTCCCATGGCAAATATGGCATTGTATGCTACATCGTTATCAGAGTCGTGAGAATACTTGTTAAGGACGTCGATAACCGATAATTGCGGGTTCGAAATAGAGCACAGAGCTATAGCCAGTGGTACAGCACGACGGACTGCTGGCTCACCATATCGCCCCTGTGAATGAAATATTTCTTGTTGTCAATGATATTTTTAAATTATTAGAACAACTTAGCTTATAGTCTGCTATATATAATATACTTCTTTAGAAATAGTTGCCAAAGGTATTTCGTGTTAAATAATTAAACTATATAAAAATTTGACTTTTAACAAAAAGTAAAACCCAACTTTAAAGAACTAAATAGAATAAAATATTTTTTTTTGGATCAAATTTATATGGATCCATCTATGAAGTTAAACTTATTTAAAAAAAAAATTTAATCAGGACACAATGAAAGATTTTGAGTACATACAAAAATTAATACAGTTGAAGTGAAAACCTTTTTTAGCAAGTCTGCTGAAAATCTATACAAAAGTGTTATCTCTTATCTTACTTACAAGTTGTCCAAAGATTCTAGTACACATTTCTGCACCAGTCTCCTCCGCTAATGCGATTACAGCAACGCCCAGTGTGGCCACAGCTTGCACTGACGATAGCTCTTTGTTTGCCTCTTTTTCCTTCTCCTTTTCTTTATTTTTGCTGTCCTTTGACTTGCCTGTAGTATAAAAATATATAAGATTATATAACATGTATACAAACATAAACTCACACAACTAACACCCAGGGTGTAGGCAGAGATTACAAAATTCCATTTAGCATGATCCTGACATCTCTATCGCTTCTTTCACATCCATATATATACGCATACATGCTTGTCGGTTAAGGGTACGCTTAATTTGTCCCATCTTCAATATATTATCGCTAATTTGAACATAATTTTTTTTAAATAATACAATAATTGCATAAAATTGCACCATTTAAGTTCAGTTTAGCATCAAGGTCGTTGTAGACGGTGCATGCTCCGACTACAAGCCTATTAACGCTGGTGTTCCACAAGGCTGTGTGCTATCACCAACGCTGTTTCTTCTGCATATCAATGATATGTTGCTACCTGGTAACTCATTGATATGCGGATGACAGCACCGGCCGTGCCAATATTTCTCGGGAAAACGTCGCCGAGTACCGGAACAAACTTGTGTCTGAAGTCGAGTCTTTGCTGAACAAAGTCTCGGATTGGGGGCGACTAAATCTAGTCCAGTTTAATCCTCAGAAGACACAAGTTTGCGCGTTTACCGCTAAAAAGAACCCCTTTGTCGTATCTCCTCAGTTTCAAGGCACTCCCCTTCTTGCCTCAGCCAGTATCGGAATCCTCGGAGTCGACATATCGAGTGACGTGCAGTTTCGTGGTCACTTGGAAGAGAGGGCCAAATAGGCCTCTAAAAAGCTTGGCGTGCTCAGCAGAGCGGGACAGTATTTCATGCCGGCACACCGCCTGCAACTTTACAAGGCGCAGGTTCGGCCTCACATGGAATACTGTTCCCATCTCTGGGCAGGGGCTCCCCAGTGCCAGCTCCTTCCACTTGACCGCATCCAGCGCAGAGCGGCTCGAATCGTCGACGACCGAGTCCTTTCCGATCGGCTCGATTCATTGGCACTGCGAAGAGATGTTGCATCCCTTTGCATTTTCTTTCGCATCTACCACGGGGAGTGCTCTGAGGAATTGTTCGGATTAATACCAGCCGCCAAATTTCACGAACGCACATCGCGGCAGAACTCCCGATACCATCCACACCATCTGGATGATTGGCGGTCCACCACTGTGCGATTTAGAAGATGTTTTCATCCTCGCACGATTTCCTTGTGGAATCGATTACGATCAGCGATTTGTCCGGACCGATACGACTTAGGGACCTTCAAGAAAAGAGCGTACTCTTTTTTAAAAGGCCGGCAACGCATCTGCGATTCCCTCCCTGGTGTTGCAGCTGTTCATGGGCGGCGGCAGTCACTTACCACCAGGTGAACCGCATGCTCGTTTGCCCCCTCTCCTATAAAAAAAAAATTAACAAACCAACTTACTTTTATTTTTATCATCCTTCGAACTTCCAGCTGAGCTGCTGCTTTCTTTGGCATCCTTTTTATCTTGCTTTTTGAAGGCTGTATCTTCAGTGGATGATTGCTCGTTCTAAAAGATAAAATATGCATGCAAAAGTTCTAATTTAAAAACATCAATAAAATGTGTATTAATCTATGTAAGAAATTAAAGTCTTATGTAAAAAGGTATCTACTTGAAAAACTGGAAAAATTAAAATAATAGCCTTTGAAATTAGTGCTAAAGAGTAAGTATATCGAAGGACTAAAGTCCCTGTGAATTAAGTAAAGCTTCCAGGACTCTTTTTTTGTAGTAATCCATATAGTTTGATACCTATTTCTACCTACTTCCTATTTAAGCATCAGTGCATCCACATTTTGGCATTGGCCAGTGGCAACCTTTCCAATAATCACCAAGTGGATTGTTAGCTCATTTATCGTTTCAATGTTTTAAACAAAGTAAGATATTCCTAACTCTGATGTAACAAAAACAATGATTGTACTTAAAGAAGAGCCAGGATCTCATATCTGTGCAGTGTGTACCATGTATCAACTATTGAACAAGAAGCATATAAACAGGAACAAACCTCGGTATCGTAGTGCTTCGAGCATATATGCAGCATCTGTTGGACGACAAGCACGTCGCCCGTGCCAGCGTACGCGCACATCGACAGCGTCGTCTGGCACAGCGACTGCTGCGGCTCCGGCAGCACCTCAAGAGCCGCCATAGTGGCTTCCGTTCGCTCCTTGCAGCCTGTATACAAATAATGCATTATTGTTATTCTAACCATCATCTTTGAAGAAAGTTTCTCTAAGAATGCAGAAGCTCATGTGCATATTCTGGTAGTTGCCCACCACGATAGGCAGACTGGTGATGGGTATAGAGCAGATATCCTCAAAATGCTTAATGCTTAAAATCAAGATAAAATATGTTATAGATAACGCTCAAATTACGCACGTAAACCAAGTACAGTGCATAAAAGTATAGTTGCCGGCGTATAAAAATATTTATATTCATATCTCACCTAAGAAACATAATCCGAGACCCAAGTGCAAGAATCTGGCGTAAGTAGAGGAATGCAATTCCTTGTTGTCATCAATTAGGCGTTGAATAATGGCGCACGTGACCTGTAGAATAATATTTAATTAACTATATTAGACGGTGACGGAATAGCAGATTGACATGTATAACTCAACTCCAAATCAGCTCATTTTCAAACTCAAAACTTTCAAATTTCAATTTATAATATTTACATAAACTTGACCTGTCGAGGTGCAACTCGATGGCAAATCAGCAGCTCACAAATCTTTTCATCTTTCATTCACATTCAGACCACAGCTGACAGAATATAATAATTATAAAATTCTAATAAATGTAAAGGTTATCACGTTGTTTTTTTTTTAATGTTAATTCTATGAGGATATTATTGTACTCTTAATGTGTTCTCAGGCAATCCAAATTTGTTTGGAATTGTGTAAAATAAAATATTAATTGAAATACCTCAATAAACTAAACCTTTGGGCATTACTTTTGAAGCTCTGATTACACAATTTGGAAATAGAATTCACGCTCGCTGATATGCTACATTACGCTTTATTTAAATAATAATAATAATAGATTAGTATGACGTCCGGAGTGATATATATATATATATATATATATATCTATATCTATATGGTATATATAGATAGGATGCAGCTTATGAGAACTTCAATAATGAGGCTGTACTTGCCGCGGAAACATGGTTTTTAAGCGCTCTCACTGTGCATAATCGCGAAGTTTGCAGCCTCCGTAATTACTTCCTGGCGAAATCGGATGATCTATTCTACAGGGACGTCATTTCGTGTGATAAAGGGCTAACCCCTCTCTATCCTTAGCCAACGAGCAATAGCAAGACCCAACAGTACAGTGCATTTCCGACCGGGAGACCGTATGGAAGGAGAAAGAGCTCCACGGGAGGTTCTACAAGGCTCTATATGAGCCTTTCGTAGACACAGTCGCCTCCCTCCACTGGCTACGTTTCGGTGAACTCTTTGGGGATACCGAGGGTTTTGTCTGTGCAATACAGGATCAGGTTATTAAGACCAATAATTATCGGAAATACATCCTAAAGGATGACGCCGTCGATACCTGTCGAGCTTGTCGTCATCCCGGTGAGTCACTTAGGCATGCCATCTCCGGTTGTTCGGCGCTTTCTAACTCTGAGTATTTGCACAGACACAAACTAGTAGCCAGGATTCTACACCAGGAGCTCGCTCTGAAATACGGTCTTGTGGATCGGAAGCTGCCATTTATAAGTACTTGCTGGAAGCCGTGTTCGAAAATGACCGCGCCAGGCTCTACTGGGACCGGGCCATCATCACAGACAGGACTATTCTTGCAAATAAGCCTGATATTGTGCTGATGGACCGGGCACAGTCAAGGATATTTTTGGTCGACATTCCCATTTCTTATGACGAGAACCACGTGAAAGCCGAAACAGATAAACAGGCAAAATATCTGGACCTGGCTCACGAGGTGACCGACATGTGGGGTGACCTGCCGACCGAAATTATTTCTGTAGCCGTCTCCGCGAACGGGTTAATCCCAGTCAGCCTTTCGGGCCATCTGAGGCGACTGGGACCGCTCCGGGCTCAAATGCAGAAGGCGGTGCTCCTCGATACCACCCGCATCGTCCGCCTATTTCTTTCCCTTTCCTCCTAACCCTCGGCCGTTTGGTCTCCCCTGCCGAGGGCTTCCACCTGGTTGGGATTTTAATTATTTATTTATGTTAGTATATTAAATATATATTTATGTTTATTTATTATTTTCTTTAATATATTTATTCAGCCCAACCAGATGAGAATACTCTATAACCCAAAATAATAATAATAGTCTTGTGATTAAAGTGACAAAATTTTTGATGATTGTAATATACTTTTGTATTGCATTTATTAAAAAAAAAACAGAATAAATGCAATTTATGCCAAGATATTTTTACATTACTTATGTTATACTATATATTACATAATCAATTTCAATACTAAAATTGAAGGCGGTTTTTTATTCATTATTTTAAATTTATTACTTGTACGGTTATTGATCTAAACTTATGCAAACAAATTATTAACCTGTGAATATTTCTAGAACAAAATTACATCTTTAGGTAATTGTAGATTTGACACACATATTGTTACATAAGTGAATATTAACAGAACTCCTTTTGTGCACAGCAGATGTGCCAGGCAGATAACACCGCCTTATCTATAACTGCAGTCCGTCTACTCCTGATAAAATTGAGTTCTGGTCACTTATATATTGTTGTGAATCGAATTTTATTGGTTTAGGATTAAAATTTTATAAATTAGGATTTTTTCAATAAGATTTCGTAAAAACGTCATTTTGAATCGAAATTGAAAACAATTTTGAGAGTAAGCCCTCTGAGGTGTTACAATCAGGTGGTCTGAGTGTGCCACTTAGTATAAAAAGAATGATGTCGGAAGAGAACTAACGTCGCCATTGCAGGAGCCGACGGCGATGAGTCCGCAGGCGACGGCGGCGAGCGCGCAGATTTCGGCGGGCGCGGCCGCGTCGCTCAGCACCGGCAGCAAGTGCTGCAGTACGTCGTCACGCTGAGTGCCCGCGTACGCTATGCCCAGACCTGATATAAAATATTGAATTTAATAGGTTTTTAAACTTAGAAGTACAAAATTTAGCAAAATATGGGTGATGTTTGAGCTTATATGGATTCGCTCGGGTAGTTATCTCTTAAAGTCTGATCATTCTTCATCATCAACCCATAAAAGTTCACTGGTAGATATGGGCGTCTTCCGTTGTAGGTAGGGTTTACCTTAATCGTCACACTTTGCAAGCGGGTTGACAATCACAGTTTCAGACGTCTTGCAACTTTGACACTGCTGGCCCTTGCCGCTCGGGATATTATACAAGTTTTGTATTTATTTTCAGAAACGCGTAGTATTAAATTAGTGGTGCACAAGGACATCAACCGTGATCAGAATGATGTGATCATTGTGAATGTTGTATAGTAATGCAATTTTAATACTAAAATTTATAATTAATAGCTATATATACTAATCAAGCCTACAAAAGTTGTGAAATAAAATAGCGAAAAACTTCATTTTTGGGTACCTCCCATACCGGTGTTTTTTTTACTCATCTGTTCTATCATGTGGGGTGTCGTTGGATAGGTTTTTCAAAAATATTGGGGTATGGAATAACATTTTATGATTCATGGGTCCGATTGCGCAATATTTAGCTTAAAAGTGGTATATTTTCTTAGAGTTGTGTATGTCCCCCTTGCTCTCTACCAACTAAACTGCTCTTTTTGGAAAAATGAAAGGTATGTACAATAGTAGTGATATAATAGCAGTTAAAAGGAAAACTATCACAGGTAATTAGGAGTAATAGTCAACCAACTTATAAAAAATTAAAAATTACCTAAAACTAGTTGCATTATAACTTTATAATGTAAACTGTAAAAAGATACATTTTTTTGAAGAAAATGATGCGTCCAAATGTGTCCATTTTTAGTTGTTATAACGGTTAAACCACGAACTCATTTCATATGCTCATATTATCAAGAAGGCCTCTTCTTGGTTTATGTTTTGTGATGGGCAATAACGGAACCCTTTATTGTACGTGACCTGACGACAAACACTTTGCCGGTTTTATTTTTGCTCTTTATTAAAAAAAATATTTAGGACTAGAATGGCTATTGAGCTAAACTTAGTTAAGAAATACTTACCTAACACACTACCAATTCTCAGGTTGGCACTGGAATGTAAGACATAGTCAGATAAGAGGGCGAGTGCAGGATCACATTCATTTCGTACGCCGCAATTGACGAGGCCCAGTGCCAATAATGCACCCGCCTTAATATGTTCGTCGGAAGTATACAGATACTTGTCAATAGGGGTCAAACCCCCATCCACATCCCACAAGTGGATCATACCGAGAGATGCCGCCGCAGAAAGCATGCCTGGAATTTTAGATAATACTTGTCAGATACATATTAAAGACAAACAATCATTATACACTTATACAACAAGTACTACAAAAACATCAATCTATATACATTATATTATATTATTACTGCCGCCAAAAGCATTTTAGCAGATTTCACATGTGTACCGCCGCCCATGAACAACCGCAACACCAGGGGAATTGCAGATGCGTTGCCGGCCTTTTAAAAAGGAGTAGGCTCTTTTCTTGAAGGTCTCTAAGTCGTATCGGTCCGGAAAAATCGCTGATGGTAATCGATTCCACAAGGAAGTCGTGCGAGGAAGAAAACATCTTCTAAATCGCACAGTGGTGGACCGCCAATCATCCAGATGGTGTGGATGGTATCGGGAGTTCTGCCGCGATGTGTGTTCATGAAATTTGGCGGCTGGGATTAATCCGAACAATTCCTCAGAGCACTCCCCATGGTAGATGCGAAAGAAAATGCAAAGAGATGCAACATCTCTTCGCAGTGCCAATGAATCGAGCCGATCGGAAAGGGCTCGGTCGTCGACGATTCGAGCCGCTGTGCGCTGGATGCGGTCAAGTGGAAGGAGCTGGTACTGGGGAGCCCCTGCCCAGAGATGGGAACAGTATTCCATGTGAGACCGAACCTGCACCTTGTAAAGTTGCAGGCGGTGTGCCGGCATGAAATACTGTCCCCCTCTGCTGAGCACGCCAAGCTTTTTAGAGGCCAATTTGGCCTTCTCTTCCAAGTGACCACGAAACTGCACGTCACTCGATATGTCGACTCCGAGGATACCGATACTGGCTGAGGCAAGAAGGGGAGTGCCTTGAAACTGAGGAGATACGACAAAGGGGTTCTTTTTAGCGGTAATCGCGCAAACTTGTGTCTTCTGAGGATTAAACTGGACTAGATTTAGTCGCCCCCAATCCGAGACTTTGTTCAGCAAAGACTCGACTTCAGACACAAGTTTGTTCCGGTACTCGGCGACGTTTTCCCGAGAAAATATTGGCCCGGCCGGTGTATAGAGCATCACCAGTGCTGTCATCTGCATAGCAATGAATGTTACCAGTTAGCAACATATCATTGATATGCAGAAGAAACAGCGTTGGTGATAGCACACAGCCTTGTGGAACACCAGCGTTAATAGGCTTGTAGTCAGAACACGCACCGTCTACAACGACCTTGATGCTCCGATCTGCAAGGAAGCTGGTGATCCAATTGCACAATTTCTCGGGAAGCCCATAGGAAGGGAGCTTTGAAAGAAGCGCTTTGTGCCAAACCCGATCGAAGGCCTTCGCAATGTCCAGACTAACGGTCAACGCCTCCCCCTTGGACTCTACTGCCTCCGCCCATCTATGGGTCAGGTAGACCAGAAGATCACCAGCTGATCGACCCCGACGAAAACCGAATTGGCGGTCACTAATAACAGCTGGTGATCCTCAAGGTACCGGATGAGCTGGCAGTTAATAATGGATTCCATTATTTTGGAGAACAAGGAGGTGATCGCGATAGGCCTATAGTTGGACGGGTCTGGGCGGTCGCCTTTTTTAGGGATCGGTGTGCCTAGTGCGAGTTGTTGTTTTTACGCACTCGATACCGAGAAAGTTAACTACAATTTGTATGGAATAAAATCAGCGCCAACTAGTGGCAATAATTGGAATCACCATCGAGCATTGACTCTCATTCGCCAGTGAGAACGTTAACGCACGTGATTGGTTGGAGCGGCAACTTCGATCATTCGAGACGTAAAACTTTACGCGGTCGTTATCGAAAAAGTATTCACCTAAATTTTTACAGTGAGATAGAAGAGTAGCCGGTAGCCAGAGTAGAGCCAGGGTAGCCAGAGAGAACAGATCGCCAAGTGTCACGATCCTTACATATCTCTTTCGCTTCTTTCAGATTCATTATCTTCTTCATACATGCACGTCTAGGTATCCGAGTACTCTTGACCCTACCCTCTTCGAGCAATTTGCTCACATGGTCTTCGAAAGTTAGTCTCGGTCTACCTCGACACCTTTTAATATTAACTTTCGCGCTATATATTTTCTTCACCATTCGGTCTTCACTCATTCGCTCAACGTGCCCAAACTACCGAAGCACGCCCTTATCAATTTTTGTGATAAGGTCATCTTTCAAACCTGCCATATTGCGAATCTCTTCGTTTCGCTTTCGGTCGGCCATAGTAACGCCGCACATTTTACGAAGAGATCGCATCTCCACTGCATTCAACTTACTTTTATGCTTCTTCTGGCATACCCAGGTTTCGCTGCCATATAACAAAGTCGGTACCAACACTGCGTTATGTATTGCAAGGCGTGCACTCTTCGCTACGCCTTGCCTTTTGACTAACGCAGTCAGGGCACCATTGACTTTGTTCCCGGCAGCGACACGCCTGTCCACATCTAAATCACATCTTCCATCCCGGCTAAAAGCACTCCCCAAGTATACAATTTCATTTACCTGTTCTAGACATTCCTGATTTACCCATATTTCACACTTCGTTCTCTCTTCGTCCCTTTCAAATACCAGAACCTTAGTTTTATTAGCATTCAAACGGAGACCTTTAATTTCACATTCCTCTTTCATACACGTGACTAATGCCTGCAGTTCTGCCTCTGATGGTGCAATAAGCACTGCATCATCAGCATACAGCAGACAATTTACTTTTATGTCACCCAATTTCACACCCAAACAGCTATCTTTCAGCTTTTGTAAACAGCTGTCGAGATACAGTATGAACAGCCAGGAAGACATGACACAACCCTGTTTTACGCCCGTTTATTATTATTATTATTTGGTCTATTTGGCCCTTGGTATTGTGATTATGTCACAATAATTCTGCCAATGTCCGGTCCTTGGTCTGTCGCACCTTGTCTTTAGGCTTTTCGGTGGAAAAGGAGTTAGCGGTTATTAGGTGAAAATATGGATAAAAACAAAGCAACTAAATACATAAATTATGGACCACACAATATAGAGCAAACATCTAGTTATAGGAGAGAATTAGCCTGGGCAGGGAATAGAGAATTAGTTTAAGCTAAATTTAGTACACGATAATTAGAGTTTAATATTATACATTTGAATATATTTTGAGATCATATTGACATATATGGAATTGGGGATAGTTAAGAGGGAATTGATATTCATTGGTCGAGGGATTGTGTTGGGAAGAATGTCATATAAAGAAATTGGGTGATTTTGGCAATTAAAGAAAATGTGGTCTGGGGTACCTTCATCCAGTCCACATTCACAGAGAGAATGATCTTTGATTCTAATTTTAGCTAGAAATACAGGAGTGCAGGCATGCCCAAGCCTTAAACGGCAGATTGTAGATGTGATTTGTTTGTTCAAAAAGCTAAATTTAAAGAACCAAGGTTTTGGAGGGATTTGGGGTTGAATTTTACCAAAGTGACAACCTTTAATATGTCTGGATGTGCTCCATTCTCTGTTCCAAGAGTTCTTTAATTCAATTTGAGCTAATGACATTAGATCATGAGAGTAAATCATTAAATGAGAAGGACAGCCAGTATCAACAGCTCCTTTGGCCCAAGAGTCAGCCTGTTCATTTCCTTCTATACCACAATGACTAGGAATCCACACAATCTCCACATCAAGCCCACTCTTATTACAATTTAGTATGAGTTCCTTAATTTTCAGTATTAATGGGGAGATGGAATTCATTTTAAATATATTGCTCTGTAATGACATTAGGCAGCTTTTTGAATCAGTAAATATAACTGACTTAGGAATTTTATGGGAAAGAATATAGGAAATAGCCTCATATATGGCTACAGCTTCCCCAGTAAAAACAGAAGCTTGAGGAGGACATCTATAATTAAGGACAATTTTGTATTTGGGGATCCAGACTGCGGAACCGACACATTTGATTGGAGACAATTTGGAAGCATCAGTAAAAATATATAGCCAATCAGACCATTTTTTTGCCACAAGGTTGTAGAAAGTTCTGTTTGCAGTGGGGGAATTTTTATTAATGTTTAAATTCAGAGTGATTTTAGGGTTTATTAATATAGCTTCATAGCTGGTTTCAAAATAGGGTAGAATTAGGGATGTTACACAAGGATAACCAATATTTTTTAATCTATTTAGAGATTTAAGAATAGGGGGCCAGCTTTTATTAAACCAGTAGGAGTTGTTTACAGCTAATAGTAGCAAGGATTCTAGTTTACGATGTAAGGGGTGAGATGATAGTTGTAGAGTTTTTGAGAGAAATCTATCAGCTAGAAACTGTCTTCGTAAAGAGAGAGGGGGATCAGCACATTCTACTTGTAAAGCATTTTTAGGAGTTGATTTCATTGCGCCTGTGATAATACGTAAACATCTTGTTTGGATAACATCAAGTCTATTAAGGGCCGATTTGTTGCAGGGCTCCAAAAGAAAAGAGCCATAGTCGAAGTGACTGCGGATGATGGCATTGTATAGGATTTTTTGACACATGGGGTGAGAACCCCACCATACGCCTGAAAGGGATCTAAGAATATTAACACCTTTCTCACATTTGTCACAGATGTAATTAAAGTGAGCAGTACCAGTCATATGACAATCTAAGAAAATACCTAAAAATTTTACTTTGTTAACAACTGGAATAGATTCACCATTATATGAGATATCAATAGTAGGGAAAACACGTTTTCTACTAAAGGTTATTGTTTTGCTTTTAGAAGCAGAAAGAGAGAGGCCATGGTCAGTAAGCCATTGATTAAGATAATATAAGCCTCTGTTAAGATGATGGGAGGCAGTTAGGATATCAGGAGCTGTTACATAGATAGCAAGATCATCTGCATATTGTAATATGTCACAGAAAGATGAAATCGAATGTTCAAGGTCATATGTGTAGATATTGTAAAGAATAGGGCTTAAGACCGAGCCCTGTGGTAGACCCTTCCAGATTGTTCTGGGCGAGGTTAACATTCCTTTATTGCGAATTTTGATAGATCGTCCCATGAACAGATTGTAAATGAAGTGTACAGTCTTCGCAGGGATGTTCAGATGAAGCA